GTAGCGTACATAGTTATAGCTCAAGTCATCGCAAGCTCGCTTTGTTCTGGCGGCACAGCTGTGCGTGATCGGTGCTTTACCACTGGGCTGTGGTGTTTGAACGTAGGACCTCGTGACGCAATCGGCAACGTTGCAGATGTACAACCGATAAACCTTGTCGAGCGTTGGTCGAACTACATACCCCGGTTTTACTATGGCCGCCAGGGCGTTCAGGAGGAATGTGGAGTACCTCAGAGAGTCGGGAGTCGATGAGGCACCCGCGGTCGCAGTCCGTTTTCGCCGAATCTCTTCCCAGTACTCTTCCTGGGTCTGCCCTGTTCTAGCAGTGTTTCCCGTGCCAGTTGCACAACGCCGATAAGCTTTCCCTTCTTCGAGTCCCCTCGCCCATTCTACCCACTGTGCGCTCCCCGGCAGCATGTTCCTCGGACACGGGAAACTGCTTGGAACAATTGGTTGATCATTTGATCGTGGGTAACTCTTCAGCACAGCGAGAAACTGTTGCATTTGGGTTTCCTGCGTCTCTGACCTGGGAGCACCTTCAGTGAGAGTGGGAAGATTTCTGGATGTGACCTCGGAGCTTGCTGTCAACGGTTTCGACGGCTTTGGAGCTAGTGGAACGGATTTTCTCTTTGCTACAGATGGAATAAATGTGCCAAGATTTGAAGTAGTTTATGGGAATATTATATGGAGTGACGTGAGATGTTTTCGTGTGCCGAACATTGACCAACTCCGCAACGAGAATAATATGACGAACCCACCCAAATGTGCTCCAGACAGCCGCAACGACTTCACCAGACACGCGTGATCACGCAAAACTCGGCGATGCACCTCTAGTTTCCCTTGTATGTCGATCACCGCATCGAGCTTCTCGAAGTCTCGTATCAGCAGATCGAGAAATTCGGTCACTTGGTCCTCGGATCCATCGTCCAGAACCGAGGAGTGGAAACGCTTGTCAATCAGAAATTCAGGTCAGACTCAGTTACTATGCGACATTTAGTGGTTGGGCGATGGGCTACTCACAGTGTCCTCAGAATCAAAATCGTCTGACCTCATTTCACGAGCCAATCGCCATCGGACGTACACACTCAGCAACGCTGAGTTAAGGATGCACAATGCATACACCTGATAGTATGTCCAAGCGAAAATAGGATCGTGCTTGAAGAATCCTGGATGGATGTTCGGTGAGATGATACACCAGTCACGAGGACCGGATCCTGTTTTCGCGACGTAAGTCTTCCCAGCCAGTTCGAACATGCATTGCTTGTATTTGAGGCTACCAATTTTTTGGGGTGGGATGTTGCGGTTCCCATCCTCTCCTCGCCGACGCTTTGCCGGTTCGTACCCGAACCGTTCCTCTATCGCCCTTTCGTCCAACATCGGATCCCCAAGCAATCCATGGAGGAAAATCGTCGTCACAGCCTCGCTGTTGGCCGTTATGTGGATGGGGCGGATTGTGGAGAGCTGTTCCCGGAGAAACCACAAAGGTACGTAGTAGCATCCGCGATCCTTGGTGGGGAGAACGTCCACAAATGGACCTAGGGCAACATTAACTGTGTAAGCAGGTCGCGCGTTCTCCACCATTGTGGTGAGCACCGGTGTGTGCACTCTGAGAGCGAGGTCTCGAGTGACCAGAGGACCGGGACCAGAATGTGGGTGGAAGAAGGGTACCTGGCCATCAAAGCTACGGAGTGTAATGTCCTTGAAGATATGGATTGTCGGCACCCGACCTTTCACCGTGGAGATCGGATCACTGATTTGGGTGAGTGTGAAATTCACGTGGTTTCGGGGATCCTCGCCAAGGTTAAAGATGGCCGAAAATCCATTTTCGTCGTCGTAGTACACTCTTTGGAGTCGCTCTTTCATCGACTCGTCAGCAGCGCGATGCGCTGGTGTCCCATGGAGCAGAGTCCCAAACGCAACGATGAATCGATGGAGATAGAGAAAGGTACGAGAACATCAATCAGCGGTCCATCTGCTCAAAAAATATATGAAATGTCAAATGCCAAACTGACCTGGTTTCACCCTCTCTTGCTCCACTTCCTGAATGTATTGCGACATAACCTTGCCAACCGAGGCTATGGCATCCTCGACATCCAGCCCAAGAGTCAGCTGCCTGATGTACCCGCCGATCCCGGAGTTGAGCGCAGTTGGGCCCAACAGTATTATGAGTAGGTCTTCGATCTCGCTGACAAAATCCAGAACCAGCTCCGGGTAAAGGCCGCCCCAACTTGGAACCTCGACTCGGATCACGGTGACGGCGTTGAGATAGTCCATGATTTCAGCAAATCCAGAGGCATCGAGTTCATCCATGTCTGGTGAGTCGTAATTGTTGTCTGTGGTGGATTCTTCTGGGTCAACAGTTGACGTTTCGTCCACGTCCATCCTTTCGAGACCAGCTCGTACCAGACCAACTTGCTTGATGAAGTTGACAGCTCGAACCTGTGTGGTTTTCGAATTCATATCCGCCGTCATCCTCTCCATACCATCACACTTTCGAGACACACCGCCATAGAAGAGTGTGTGCGTGTTGTTGCTTCCTCTCGTATTGTTATTGACTTTGCTTATTTCGCGCTGTAGGTCCATCTCGTGCTTACGCACCAACATTGCCGCGTACGGGGAATCCCCGGGGAACTTCTGGCGGTATTTTTCTACGACTTGGTCGAACTCGGGGTTGGATAGAGTGAGTTCTCGGATGTAGTAGTGGAATCTTCAGGAGGCAAAATATCCGCACGGCAAATGTAAGTGTCTCTTGTCTTTTCCGTAGAAAATACAGTATTTGCTTCTAGTGCCGAGAACTCACTCTTCCATTCCCGGAACATCTACTCCGTCCATATTTCGCTGATCGACAGCAGAGACATTGTACCAATCGGTGAGTCTGTCTGGCAGCGGCACTGGGCACGGATTTGTGAGTAAGTTGGTGTGGAGATTGCCGGTGAATGACGGGCGGAGGTTCATATGCTTGAAGTTGCGTCGCACGTGCGGTTTTAGCCTCATCACCACACAGGGCAGTTCGCGAGCGGTTGCTACCCCTGAGTTTGCCGCCACCACCGAGTTGAGCCAAGTCGTGCTGCACAATCCGAGAACATCATGGATCAGCGATGGAGATATAGGTTCGGATTTCCCTTCGCGGAGGTGGTGAGTGCGATTTTCTACAACTTGGCAAAGCATGTTTATTGTGTTGTCATCACTCTGATTGTTTAGGAAACCCAGCGAATCAAGCATCGCCTGATCACATTCAACTTTCCCGAGTGCGGCCTCCTCGAACCGTGCCATCCGCTTAAGATGTGCTTCGACAAGCTCTTCAACGCGCTTTGCGTGCTGTTCCGCTTTCTTGGCGCGATTTGATTCGAACTTGGTGGTTTGCGTATCAATGTGCGTCGCAATGGCACTGCATATCCACGAATGACAGGTACTGGAGCTTGGATCCATGGCGGGATTTGCGAGATGAGAAGGTGAGTGAAGTTTGATTTTGGTCTTGCTGGTGAGGAGCGGGGTGGGAGTACCGTTGGAATGCGAGGGGAACTTGGGGGTCACAAACGAGGTGAGTTCTATACCAAGCGCGAAGATACAGCGGCTCAAGGCCAAGTTTTGTCTGCTCACATGCTGGTTAGAGTTTTGAGAGTGCGAAGAGTAGGTGGGCTGGTTTGTAAGTGGAGAAAGATGGGTGGAATGCTCAGTACTAGTCCATGCAATGCCTTAGAAGTGACCGTAATAGAAATGTAACGATTGCAATTTCATTTCCAGTTTTACCGTCGGAAACCAACGGCCAAACCGCCGTCCGTTCCAGAATTTCCGGTTTGGGAATGTGGCTCACCGCGTTCGCACGGGGATTCCTCGACGATTCAAAGGTTTACGGGCACCGCGAGACGCTCAAATACACGCCGTGATGGATGAAAGTCGACTGCGCTGGTCGTCCCTGGTCCTTGTGGCTTCACAACAAAAAAATTGGACAAGAGGGGGAGGTGGAACAGTCTCGGACAGTCGTGGTCGCAGACGCTTGTATCGGAGGATTCCACCGCAGAAAGATCAAGCGGAAAGATGTGGTTTCGATTTCGCTTGGGAAAGTAGTCCCTCTTGGTGAAGGACTTTTTGGGTTGTGATGAGGTTCGACAGAATCCGTGCACAGTGGGTGGGTGGTGGGCAAGGCAAGGAATTTTTTGTGAGCTTCGCTTCCCACCCCACATGTAGACAGTAATAGCCGCACAAGTTTTGAATTGTGTTATTGAAACCGTATTCCAACTTTATTTCAAGCACAAAAGCGTCATCCCGAGAGACCTCACGTTGGCGCTGGCCAATCGATATTTGCACATGGCCCACGTTACGGTCGCAACATTACTTCAACACGTCGCCAATGCATCAACCGCTTCAATTGGACCTGGCCACTGTCTGCCTTTGTCAAACATCTTGATGTTGCCAGAGTCAATCAGGGGGAATCCACGAAAGTCAGAGCTCCTGGTCTGATGATGACGTATGTTGAAGCATGGTTCATTTTCTCGCGTGATACACAAGCTCTCCGCTTTCAGTGGCTTTCTCAAGTAACAGACTTCCAAATACCATCGAACTCGCTGAGACAAATGTGGAAAATACCAAAGTTTTCCTTCAAGGAGAGAGGTGAAGGGGTGTCGTCATCCCAAACCAGCGGAAGTGCTCTGGACTCTCGTAATTGCCTCCTCTTGACATTCATTCTAGTTTGCATCTCAACACATTGAAATTGAAAGTCCCCTGTTCTCCCTGCCGTGATGTCTCCACAAAGTTTCGGATTGCAATTCAACATTGAAGGGGTACCTGCTTCCCTATCAATCACGTCCGTTGCACCACTTTAAAAGGCTTGTTCAGTTTGTTCGTGCGGAAGACAATTTACAAGAAAAGCCTGGCAACGGATTGAGAACGCCAGGTGTGTGCAGTGTGTGCACCCCTTCCCCGCCCCACACACCACTCCCCACGCCCCACCCGGGAAAACACATCTTCATATCTAAATAACAAGTTCTCTGCATATCCAAGGGGGTGTAACTCAGCGGTAGAGTGCTCGCTTTGCATGCGAGAGGCCGGGGGTTCAAACCCCTCCACCTCCAGTGAAATTTTTGTTTTTGGCTTCCCCCGTTTCACCCAATCATGTGGCGCCTGAGCGTTCTGTGGGCAATCCGGCTCATTTTCCTAGCGTAGTGCTTTTTTACTGATAGCCTCTTGTGGTATTGACACCTTGCACATGACCACAACCTCCACATGCATAATGGCACATCTAGCCACACACAATAAGATCACACTTCACTTCATCTCACACTCCAGGCCTATCACTAGGCCAGCATCCCGTCATAGAGGGCTGAGACCGATACGTAGTGACATCCCCACTACAAGCCCAAAGTGAGCAAAGGGAACGAGTTCTTGGAAAAGGTATCAATGGTGGTGAAGCTGTTGTGTCACCGTGACGGTTCCGTGAGTCCAGCTTGTATTCCCTATGCTTTTGGTAGATTCGTTTTAGATATCTAGTACGTGTATCCATATACTAGACTGTGGTCGACCCCCCGTGAGCGTAGTGTGGTTTGTGATTGTGTGTGGGTGGGGACCTGCTTCTGCCGCACAACTAATCGTGGCACTCTGTTGTAAAAATGGTACAATGACACACAAAAGAGGGCCAATCGGTGCTATGGTGGAGCTGAAGATTCTGGTCTGTCGCAACAGGAGGAATGGAAGGCGGTTTTGTCAGCTGTTGACAGGACACAACCCACTGCCCGGCAAGTCAACGTGCCAGCCGACGTCACCGGTCAACAGAGCTTTGGAGGACTCTGATGGGATGCCATTAGAAAGCTCTTCTTGCGGGAGTGTCTTTTGCCAGTGCTCCCGGATAATGGTTTGGACATGAATAGAGCGCAGTGGGGAGCCGCAGGGAGTGCAAAGGCCGGGGAGCCGCAGGCACAAACAGAGAGTGCAATGGCCGGGGAGCCGCAGGCACAAACAGAGAGTGCAATGGCCGGGGAGCCGCACAAACAGGGAGTGCGCACACGTTTACATGCTTAGCTTTTAGAGTTGGCATGTAGTTTTCTATATCCACTTTCAATACATGAGTCAACTCCTTCGTTCAGCACAGAATCCGCACGTTGCGGTCTGACTTGGTGCACCTGCCAGCGCGGGGCCTGCGGAATTTTCGATCCACGCACCATTAGCAAGGGCTCATGAATAGACAGTTGTAGAGGAAAGCATTTAGGTATCCCCGTTATGATGCAAGCCCGTGGCCTGGGGGCACTTTCGATCCACCAACCACCAGCACTCACAGTTGAGAGCGCACAGCGCGTAGTTTTGGCTTAGACATAAATTTGAATGTATTTGGTTTGCATTACAGTGTAGCACGCTTCCTTTGTGCTTATCTACGGGTTCGGGGGTGTGGAAACCTATATAACACCCGCTTCGCTAATGAGAACAGCACAACCCCGAGGTCTGACGGCTCATGCCGCACCTCTCATAGTGGGCGGTTCTCGTGAGCGGAAACAAGAACGCAGGCGGGAAGCGCCCACCCGGAAAGTCCCCACGATCATTTTGATCAGCGCATTCACTCACCTTCCTTCACTGAGGCCCGTTGACTCCACAGTATCCATCGGACACACAGAGCACGTTTTCATTGTATTTAACGTTTTTGATTGGAGTCGGAGGTCGGAGAAGCTCGTGGTGGGCGGGAAAGTTGGTGCTAGAAGGGAGAAGGTCGGCAACCGCGAGACCGAGAGCGAATGATGATTCACTCATAACCGCTGTCACGGCTCAATAAACGCGCTGGAGAGAGCTGCACTCGCAGTTTCTGAGGGGACGGAGTCAAACTGCGTCCAGCATATGTGATTCAGCAACAGAGCAGCCGAACGCACTCACCTTGACCCAGAGCTGACTGGTCCAGTTTTCCACCATTTTCCCACCGTTCACGTTTCTTAATGGAGATGGAAGCCCGCGATAGGGGTGGAAGTCCGCGATAGGTGCCCCGTTCGCTTAGTCCGGTGACGGGCCGGGGTCTGACATCCAACGACACCAATCGACCAGTTCCCGTGCATCAAACATCCAGCTCATCATTTTCATGGATTTCGCGGATTGATTTCGCGGTGGTTTAGCGATGCGAAGAGGGCAGGGGGGTGCTCAAATGCGGATCTTCGCCTTCTCCATCGCGGGTGCTCCACCCGCAGACACACCCGCGCAGTAAAATCGAATGCTCATCATCGGAGCTTCGTTCACCATAAGTAGAGTACGATTTAATACATGTACTTTTGATTTCCGCCGAACTCTCATTCGCGATGTGGACACCCACAACACGAAGAGCGCGTGGGAAGGGGGTACAAATCGTACAACAGCTCGTCGTAACTTTGTGCGGAATCGATTCGCATTTACACATCTGTGCCGTATTGGTGTCCCCCACGTTCCGTTCCCGACTTCTATTCTTTGGTAGCTTTTGACGTCGTCCAAACCACCTTTCGAGTTGATTCTCGCAAACTGCGGCCGTTTTTCTTCGCTCCTTTTCACCATAGACCGTCTGTAGCATGAAGATTTCGAATTAATTATTTTTAGCCTCTGCGCGCGTCGAATCAGAGTACGACAAAGAATCGACACAGGCTTGTTCTCCGTTTGTCTTTGCGGCTCCAGCCTGCAGTGCTGCCGTGCGCCAGCCGGTCTATCCGAGAGCAGAGCTATCAAATTATTAAATTGTCAGTCTCTTAGGGGACCTGCAGCCAGGTTTTCTCCGTCTTGATACCTTGGCCTTTCCTCCTGCCACTTCCAACCTTTCGGCCCTGGAACCCCGCCTCAGCGTCAGCCGTCAACCCATCTCACTCCGTTCTTTTCCCACTGATCTCCCACCCCCCAAGTTCAACGAGCCTCCAGACTCCTCTTCCCAACCTGCAGTCTCTTTGAGCGCCCTCCGCACAGCAGATCTCGCTCGGATTTCCTACATCAATGGGATCGGAGGCGATGTGGTGATCTGGCTTGATGTCCCCGCTGCGCTCGATCCTGCCCTCACTGCGTGTCCCCCGATTGGTGAGTTCAAACTCCTCGACGTTCTCATGGTGAATAAAACCGCAGTACTTGTGGAACCTGCCCCACATCCAGGAGCGCGCGCTGGTTGGTCCATCTGCCAATTGATGTCAAGGACTTCCCTGTCACGTCCGAGCTCGGAGTTTCTTTTTGGCAAGGATTTCGACTTGTAGAATGCTTTTTGTGTGTGTGTATCCATTATCAGGCATGGATCTCTCCAGAGCTTTTGAATCGGAGCAGGCAACTTGACTCGGTCGACGGTCACTCGCTAGTTGCTCATGGGCCTTCCTCCAGCTGGTCATCATGCTCACCTCATCCGTCTTCGGCAGATGCAGAACAGTTACACTATGGGGTGGCAGCAGGTTCAAGGTTGCTGCTACGGACGAAATTTTTCCAACAACCCAGAATGTCACCGGCATTGCACGTGGATGATGGATCTGGTCGTTCTCCCATCTTGTTGCAAATGCTTGCCAGGGGGTATTGTGGCTATCTCCGGATTCGGATCGTGGGGATGCATCGGGCAAGAAGAGTTCTGGCCCTTACTGCCACAAGTACAACAGCATCAAGCGGTGCACTGCACAGTGGCCTTTGGCTAGTGGCCTCACTTTAGTGGAAGGTCTGGTTGTTGCCGCGGGATGAAACCTCAGACCAGGCAGGCACGGTGTGGCCCTCCCAAAGAACAAACGAGAACGTCCACAGAGGAATGTAGTGGGTGCAACGCTGATGAACACTGAGACGGAGTCTAGACAGGACATAAGGACAACAAGGAGACGCCGCAGGATGTTCTCACCTGTGCAAACGGGCACCATCGCTCCTCAGCACTGGTCTGCTCTTCTTGTCCCGGGGACGGGATCTCAACAGAGATAATTGACACGCTCCGGCTGTTGTCCAGCACGATGAAGACGGCTGTGTTGGGCATTGTTGCCTTGAGGGCAAGAGCTGGACGTCTTTGGTGGGTCCGTTGCGCTCTAGCTGGCCTGGTCTTCTTGAGTGTGTTCGCCATTATCACTGAGCTACAATTGAAATACATTGGCGCAGTTCTGTTGTCGAGGGCTGGGGGCTTGTCAGACGGGGAGCGGTCAAGGAAAATACTTTTAAGGTTTGCCGATGGCTTTTGAATGTTTGTCGTCCCCATAGGACACTTGGATGGAACGGATCCCAGCGGTTGCGTTGGATCATCAGGGAATCAGGCTCAGGAATTGGGATCCTTTGTAGCACAACATTCGGCAGTCCAGTACCTGACCTTCCTCTCCAGGTTGCACCCTTGAAACAACGTGTTCCCTGCACGTGAACCGCACTGAGTCAGAGGGAGGTCCTGGGGATTAGCTGCAACCTGCATGATTTGAGAATACCTTTCATCCGCCTCCTCGCTCACATCAGCATGTGCATAAGACACTTAATGTACGTGGTACATGAAACATGTACCATCTTAAAAGTTTACAGTAGGCAGCACATGCTGGACTCAAAGGTTACTACAACGCGTGGCTATGAAATTTTGACATTTTTGTCCAGAAAAATTCATTGGTCACAAATGATTCAACCAACTGGGCGATTCTGATTTTCTATATATGGTTGCTACATGTTGAAAACAGCACGAGCATTGCCCGACCAGCAGGGAATATGCGTTGTTCGTTCACATCTGCGCTTCTAAGCACCAAAAGGATTCCTTCCGAGACCCAGAAGTACGAAAGAATACACTGTCGTTGCAAAAATCAGAATGCTCAAAAATGTGAGGAAGCTAAATGCAACTGTCCTGGGCCGAACCCGCCACCACGATGGCAGAGCCTGAAAGGCAGGGCTTACAAAGTTCGGTTCAGTGGGAAGAGTTTTGGTTCGTGCCAGCCCACGAGCAGGGCGCTCGTCCTCTGAGTCGGATTCCATTTCAGCATGGCGCCGCTCCGGAGCAAGTAGAAGTGGGGTCGAGGAGGTGGTGGATTTGTTGGACCTCGATGTACGTCCCAGACTGTCGTCATTGCGTTCTTCAGCCTGGGGACCGGAATCAGCTTGCGTGGCAAGGCCCAATGGGAGAAAAGTACGACTCTTCTCATCTTTTGGTGCAATCGAGTCGAAC